TTCCTTTTACAATCAGGTGACCTATCACCTCAACAAGGGGGAAGAGATTGATATCATATCTTGACTTAAAATAAAATCAGCTGTGAATAAAATTCCACCAGTAGGACTATAGTAGCCTTACTTCCTTTATGTGAATGGAGAGTTCATTTGTAATGTGACACTGTTTAACTGATAAAATGGAAATGAATTGCACTTCTATAGCTTTAGATAGTTATGTATCAATTGGATTATTCAAGCTGTGTATTTGCATACACAGTGAGAAGAATTACAGCTGGGAGAGGAACTTCCAATTTCCTGCTTTTACATTAGGCCAGTAATTTACTAGGAGCAATAGTCTCAGGTTGCAGCAAGGCAAGTTTAGGTTAGATATTAGGAAAAATGTTCTCACTAGGGTGGTAGTAAAGCATTGGAACAGGTTACGCAGAGTGGTTATGGTATGTCCATCCTTGGAGGTTTTTAAGACCCAGGTAGACAAAGCCTTGGGCGGGATGACAGAATTAAGGCTGGTCCTGGTTTGAGCAGGGAAAAAGATGACCTCCTGAGGTCCCTTCCTACCCTCATTTTCTGTAATTCTTATCTAGGGTACTATGGGGTGTTGCCAGATCCTTTGAAGGTTACTCAGAGGTGTGAGGAGATAAGCATATAAAACTAAGCAGATAGAGAGGAGGCTTAAGCTTGGCCCTGCCTGGATGATCCCATAACCCTACTGCCCAGCCCTTCTGCAAGGAGGTAACCACTGTAATACATAAATTAACTTTTAAAATTGGGTGCCACTCAATCCACAGAAGTTATGGAGAGGTGCCTTGAGTCCAAGAATACTTGAAAACAGCTACACTTAGTGTAAGCATCTCTCTTGTGGAAGTTGAACGTCTGCACACATCGTTCTATATGTAAACTCTGAACCAGTCTATTCAATTTATGTAATAATGCTAGAAGGATCTGAAGTACAGGTAGTCCTCTACCTTATGTCATTCAAGGTAGGACGAATGGCACTTACAACGTTTATAAATTGACACCGTTTCAATTTTCTGACATCAGTTTCAATTTTATGACACTCATCTCCCCGATTCAAAACACTTGATCCAATGTCCCGCCACACCAGCAAACAAGTTTGCTGTGCCGCCTTTCTCCCTGCACTGATCCGCTGTGCCACCCCATCTCCCTGACTTAAGATGCTCAGTTGGTGTTCCAATGCCATTTTTACTTGGTGATTTTGTGTGATTTTTTTTTTTTATGTCAATACAATTGAAAATAGGGTATTGGGCCTTGGTTCAGGAACCAATCCCCCATTTATAACATTGTTCCTATGGGAAAAATTGGTTCCAAGTTACGTTTCGACTTATGACACAATTGGTTCCTGAAAACTGCCTGTAATACTAGCATCCAGTCCAAGGACTGCCTGTAATACTAGCATCCAGAAAATACTAAACAGATACTACTACATATTTGATATATTTCAGTTGTGTTGAAGGTATGTAGATAGTTCAAGCAGCAGCCTATTAAACTGTGTAGTTCTATGATGATATCTGTCTGGTAATGTGTCCTCTGAAAAGGACACTGAATTGGATTATACACAGCCCAAGTAAATATCCTAGTTTCCCCATTAACACCTTTAAGTACTTTAAGTGCTTTTTCTTCACGTAAACTTACAGAAGGGCAAAAAGATACTCCTTAGTAACTCAAAAACATCTCATTTGTCCCTATTCAAAATAAAGGCTATGTTTTTTCAGTTAGTCCCTTAATTGGCTACTTGCATACTGAAGTGCTTTACAATCATTTTGCAGTTAGGAGATATGTGATCCTGAGGTCTATAAATTAGTGGTAGTAACAGAAATACTGCAAGCCATTTTAGAGGCACAAACTGAGATCACAGCACAGCTTCTTTGGCCAAGAGCTGTCCAAACGTGGTAAGAAATTATTCTTAAAACAACAAAAATAACTTGGTTTAGAGAGATCAGAGAGGTAACAAGCGAGAGGGAAGAAATGAGTTGTCCCTAATTCTCAGAAGGGGAACAGTGACCTTACGTGACATGCCTGATGTTATTTAGGAAGTGTGTGGCAAAGCTGGGGAATGAGCCCGTAACTGCTGGGACTTCCATTGGTGTGACTCAATCTTAAAACACTCATTCTTCTCTAGTATGCCAGCTTAGTAAACAGTAGAGGTATAACACCAAGAAGTGAAAAGGCTTTTTCCAGAGTCAAAAGTCCCAAGAATGTAAGAAGGGAATCCTTTACAATTGAACTTTCACCAAATACATATATGTACCTTTAGAAGCATACCAGTGCAGAAAATTTTCCTAAGGAAGATACCTTAAAATGAGAAAAAAATGCACTAACCTTTTTCTTGGGTTCTGCTATTGCTCTTTGCAGAGAACACTTCAGTCGTTCTTCCTGAATTTTCTTTGCTTCCTTTGCTTTTTCTTCACGTAATCTACAGAAGGGCGAAAAGAAACTCCTTAGTAACTCAAAAAAAAAAAAAACAAAGCAAAAA